CCATAGTAGAATGTCCTTCACCAGGAAGCAGAACAATTACTTCATGCATACAAAAACTCCACCATTCAGGTTTGTGCTAAGTGGCTTAAGTCATGCTCGAGGAAAGTTTTGAAAGACAAATTAAATCTGAGTCAAGAATTATAATGATGTTCCTACATTCGTCCGCATACAGTAACTACAGTTGATATCCCAAAATATACAATCTAGAACCGTAAATGCTAAAAATAATATGCATGTCCTAAAAGGATGTCCAGCTATAACTTTAGTTGGGAAGCCAGACATCTAAATCCAAATGCCTTGGTTTAAATCTTAAGCTGAGCCTGGGCTAAGTGCCCAATAAGTACATGCCAAGGGGAGAATGAACACAAACATGCAGAGCCCAAGATGTCCAATGTCGCGAAGAACAGAATACAATTATGTACGATATCCATGAATAAGAGTATTAGTCATTTCAAAAACCATCCAGCTTGATATTGATTTATTGAAAAGAGTTCAATTGGTAAAGCACATGACTACCACAATTTCACCATTCAGAATTTTGACACTATCATCAAAAGAGCACCATTGGTGGCGATATTACCAAAACAAGGCCATCCAATGATGAATTTTTTAAGGAATACCAGAAGCAACATTCCACAATACAAAGCCTAGAAATCAAAGTATAGTAGTTCGAAAAGTAAAACTTAAAAATCAAGTCTTTTAGGCTTCTGCATCAACCCAAACTTGAGAAATTTCAAGAAATCCTTCACACAAGCTAATCATCAGCAGCGCTATAAGCACTCCATGCTACTTTTTAAGCCTAACACAAGCCTGAACCAGTTAATTCCATCAGCATATAGAATTAAAGGCGGCAGAAGAAATACTACCTCCAAGTTGACACCAACACGATACCCCTCAATTTCTTTTCTGAACTTGACAAATAACTCTGAAGGCACTAAATTGATGTTGTAAAGCTCCTCCCATGATGTGGGCTCTTCTCCATTCGAACCCGCTTCCATTTTCACCCCAATAATTCAAACTAAGCAAAGCTACAGCCAACAAAAAACACCAACAATTTCAAGAAAAATGAAAATCGTAAATAGCTTTAAAGAGTTACAGATTACTGTGCTATAAAGTTCACCAGATTACCTTTTTCTTTTTTTTCAGACTGCCTATAAAAAATGATTACAGCGCTTTAGAACTGTCAGTATTAGGTAGCATCAAAAAATCCAGTTAATCAATCATTCTGGAGTGAGTATCCCCGTTCGGATTCACCGGAACTCTGGAAGTAAAGAGTTAGGCTTAGGCATTTTCTGAGGAGGAGCAGGTGCAGAATCTTCGATAACTAAAAGGAAAGGACCCATAAGCGTGTTCCAGTACTTGGGCTTGTTTAGCCCAAATATACATATCATCTCTCTGAAGATGGTCCAGTTGTTACCACACAGACTTTTAGTTTGGCCCAAAGTTCAAAGCTCCCTGCTTTGTTTCAATCCGAAAAAAAGCAATTAGCACTCTCCGCTCTCGGTCACTTGCTTCCAGCAACACGACATATTATGTGAATTACCAATTTTTTCTATTAAAAAAATTATAATAACTTTGCGTTTCAGCTTTGATTTCTCAGTATTCTTTTTAAATTTTTTTGATAAACAAGTTTTAGATTACTGCACAACTAAATATTCTGATAATATGTGTCTAGTCTTTGACAAGACTAAATTCATTATTGAAACATGTCTAGCTCTTTTGACAGTTATTTTTGTGTTCAATTAAGAATTCTGCATAATTCAAAAAGCACGGCACGATTACGTCACAAAAATGATTTCAAATTTGTTACGAAACCTGAGGTTGCTTCAATTTCATTAGGACAACAACTCAAAAGGGTGAATGAGATTAGGGTTATTATCATTTTACCCGCTTAACGTTTGATGCTATTATCAATATCCTCCTTAACATTATCATTTAGTCACTTTATCTCCCAAGATCAACGGTCAAATTTAACAAAGTTTGTTAATTAAAGTGAAGAGGCATGTTTAATTCTTAAAATTATTATCACTTTACCCCCATAAAATATAGTCTCGTTATCAATTTACCCTCTAGAGTTATTTTTTAGACAATTTATCCTACCATTAAACCAGCTTAGCAAGTTAAAAAACTTTAAAAGAAAATACCCTACTCTTTGCATAATAAAAAATATAAAAAATTTAGAGCGACTTTTCTCCTTTTTAGTATCAAGAAAAAAAAGTCTAAATATTAATTTCTTTTTTCTTGGCAATCTTATTAATATTGAAAAAAATAAGAAAGATGGAGAGGGAGAAGGGGAGAAAAAGAGCTCAATTCTTTTTTTAAAAATTACAAATAAAAAAGAATTAAATACTTTTATTCTTTTAAAATTATTTCATTTTTTTGTTTACGACCAAATTCTAATTCTAATCCCGATAACCTTAAAGTAATACAATAATGTTAGACTTTTCTTTATTTTCTTTTTTCACAAAATCTAATTTTTGTCTCCTTTTTTCTTATCTCCTTTTCTTTTTCTAGTATTAATAAGTGTGAAAAAAAGAAATTTGAAAAAATCCTTTTATTTTTATGTTTTTCGATCTCTTAAAATGAAAAAAAGGAAGAATAACCATTCCAACTTTTTATTTTTAATTATATATAAAAAAAAAGGGGTAAATATATTTAAAATTTTTTGACCATGTTAGTTAGATTAATGATGAGGTAAAATGTCTAGAAAATAATGTTATGAACTAAAGTGATTGTATCACTATAATTCAAACGAATAAAGTGATAATAACAATGTAGTAATGCTATAAAATAAAAGGGTATTTTTGTCCAAAATTTTTTAACATATTGAGTTGAATTACTTATGGGGGTAAAATGTCTAAAAAATAACGTTAGGAGACTAAACTGATAGTAGTGATATAATTTAAGAGGGTAAAGTGATAATAACCCATGAGATTATACTTAGTATTTATAGCTTTGAATGTTAATATATAAGAAACGTTGAGTTCAGCTGTCAAAATTTTTGTTTTTTTGCAAACAATGATGGATAATTTTTAACTTTAAATTCGGGCGACATATAACCAGGATAAGATATGTGTTGGTTCTTTATATCGGTTGGTTTATCTTTTGTACTCTTTATATGGAGCCATCAGTCTATCCACAAATGCTTGCTTCGACGGTACATCTATTTATTTTTTTCATTTATTAAAGTGACCAAAATGTCTTTTTCTTTTGCACAATTTACAAGTTTTTATTTGTCCTGAAGATATTACAGTGAAAAATAGGAAAAGAATTCCAAATAATCTTTAATCCAAATTCCAAACTACTTATTGGATGTACCTTGAAAAATGCAAGTAATACATGTAGGAATTCGGGATCGGAGTCGGGTAACAGATATGCCAGCTCGTGTTGGTAGAAAACGACACCGTGGTAACCGCAGAACTTAATTGAGCGCAAAAGCAGTTGAGCGTCCATTTACTTATTCGGTTTTTTTTTTTTTTTTTCCACTTCACCGTCGTAGGATATACATGCAAATTCTTGTTCGTTTGCATATAAAAGTCCCAGCGGTTTGCAGTGGGAAAGCATTATCTATTACCGTTTTCTTTTTCATTTTTTATTAGTGTAGTAAATTCTTTTAAAATATGAAAAATAAGTGTTGAAGAGACAACAAGGTGTGTGATGTCACTTGATCATTAACCAACTAATCAGACACAATAAAGATAAGGCCCTGTTTGATCACTTAATTCAATATTTAAATTTAATGGATTCAAATTTTAAGATATTCAGATATTTTTTATAGTTAAAAATTAAATATCTAAATTAATTGAGTGGCACTGGATTTTTTAGATAAAACTTGCTCCTAAAAATAAGTGATAAACTATTCACTTATCACTTAATGTGATATATACTCAAATGTATGAAATTTAGTACTTAATAATTCATTCATTTAATGAATTCACATTTCAGATTTTAGAATTTAATTTTCAGATTTTAATTTTATCAAATGCACCCAAATCTACCAAAGCATTGTACCTTGACCGTTGTATTATATGCTTCATTTTATGAAGAATTACATAAAAGGTAAGTCAATATACTAAGATGTAGATTTGCCTATCTTTTAGAAGATTATTCTATTTTCATAACCCAGTACTCAATTCCCAAATTGAGTAGCTTGGTTTGGTCATTAACTTGGAGTTGCAAACATGTTGCCTCGTTGATAAAAATTGAAATGTAGAAGAAAGAAGAATGAGAAGCACAAACCATTGATAGATTTTCCAATTGAAGAGAACGGATACGGTTTAAGATTGCATCCATGCATTCAATTTGGAAGTAAATGAGTATGTATTAATATTAGTAGATTTTTTTCCTTTTCTTTTACTAGAATGTTGATGGTAGAAATGGGAAAATATGCAAGACCAAGAGAGAGTCAATGTCACATTGCACTCCAAAATCTTAAATAATTAATGAGTCTATCTAACGGGTGTCTATTGAATATTTTAAAATATAGATTAGGTAAAATTTAATTGTGTTGACGAGTGACCACCCATAATTTAATTGCAGCCAAATCATACCAGAAATTGTAGCCGACTTGAATGCTTCGGCTTGGATAGACATGCTTTTACGAACATGTTGTCGAGGAAGTTTTATGTACATGTTCCAGTCACTTTTTAATGTCATATATACATTTATACACAAATATGAAATGATAAAATTTATCAAGAAAACACTCCAAAAAGACATCCATCCAAACGGAAACTCAAAACAATTTTGCAGGGATCCACACAACATCCGACCCAAAAATTTCCTAGTTTTGTGCAAAGACAATTCGACGTTTCAATAAAATAGGGGCTTCTTCTCAAGGATGATTAAAACATACAGTATGAAACAAAAACTTGCGCGTGAAATTAGTCCAAAATGACTAATGATTCTTTTCATTCGTCTCTCCAACCAGAAACGACTCAGAGAAACAATTTTAATTCCAAACAACTATGCTCTGCAGAACTGTTGTGGCCCTTCTGGAATCCATCAATGCTCAACGGCATAAATTAAACTAGTTCTACTGAATGTTCTTGATTTCATCAATCCAGTCGCAATGTAAATACATAATCTGCAGTCAAAAATGGCAATATTCATAAGACTTGTATTGCAGCACGCAAGGAAAGCTTTTAACAGCAGTACAACTGTGAACAAGCGTCCCTCCCTGGACTTGATTGACAACAACTTACAAATTTAAACCGAGACTTTACTGAGAGACCCCTTACGACACAACTATAAGACTTCCGACACAAAAGGACCACAACTGTTGGACAAGGGGATTCGACAAGGACCAACAGATTCTATGGCCGACGCGACCGAGGGAAGGAGCTCTTGCGTTTAGGCACAAATTTGCGCATCCAGAGATGCTTCCCATTTATGGTGAATTTGGCCTTGGTAACACCACCGAGAATCAAGTCAATGACTTTAGGCGTAGAGAACACTACTCGAGCATACAATGGTTGCTCATCAGACCTCACTGGTTGCATGTGGAAGGCCTCTATGCAATTCCCGAACAGCTTAGTGAAGAACTCCGTGACTTCTGATTCTGCAACAGGATAGCCCTTCGAAAATGTAACAAACATGGTCCTTTCCTCTTGTGATGCCCCATTAGCATTCCTGTAGTCTCCACATGCTTCACCTACAAAACCCAAGTTAGAAAAGCTGTTAACCAAAGACTCGTATGCATTATGCTTCTTGACAGCATCCTCTATGACATCCTGTAAAGCCATGGCACAAGTTTCAGTTACAACATTCCGAAGTTCTTTCACCACAATGGGCCTATTCTCATGAAAATATTGGAGAGTGATCCTCTTCTTCACGAGTCTAGAAGTTGCAGGAATTTCATTGACTTCAGCTGAAAGCACAAACTGAGGGTCATTAACACATTTGACACATGTCAAAGCCTCGTCAGCATATTTATTTATCAACATGGGGGGCATAGATAAGATTGTTAATACAAGATTCTTGAAACCTAGCCGCTCCATCCAAAGCCACAGGGCCATAATTTGCACAGACTCATAAGGATCACGCCAGAGATCGACAGCAAGGAGAGAGTAAAGCGCTCTATCCATTGCATGGAAAGTACCGTACTCGTTGGGTGTAACCGGCAAAAGTTCAGGATCCATGGCCCAAAACCTGTTCACACCAACATTCACATATACAACCATCAACATCGAATTACAAAACCTTAAAAAGACAAGGCAAAAAATTTTCCACCATATACACCACAAAAATCATAGATTCAGCAGTTTAGCATTTTAATGGACTGGCAACTTTACTAAATTGGTTTTTTTTTGTTTTTGTGGGTACAGCACACACAGACACAGAGACGCAGGCACAACAAGAATGGGGTGAACTGGATCAAAACTGTACATCACTTAATCTCCACTAAAGTGACAAACATATGAGTTTGGTGCCTGGTCCTTGAACCAGAAAGGTATATGGAAGACAGGATCCTCATGGAAACCATGGAGAGTGAATTTCCATGCTGGTCTTCTCCACCAATTTCTCCTAACAACTAGCTGATATACACCCAGATCAAGCAAAATATAAAACAATGAAATAACTGGATAAATAAATCTGACTAGTACAAAAGAAGGGAAAAGAAACCTGAAGGGAACTTCTCAGAAAATTGCTTTTCAACTCAACTCCAACTCACATGATTTATAGGCAGCTCAAGACTCTAAAACAGGTGCGAAGAAGTCTTTTAGTTTCTCTTGTCAATGTACTCCACAAACAACAAACTGAAGATAAGATATTGGTATTAATTTCCAAGAGATATCCTCGCTAGTAGGTTGTATTTAATGTTTGAAGAAATCTTGAGCCTTGAAAATTGGACACATGCGAAAATTTTCTGTTTCAGTCAATTCATTTTCTGGCTATGTGACACACGTCAAACATGAAGAAAGGCGAAGGGATAAAAGAACTCAACAAGTTACCGTATAGCCAAGCTTCTAGAGATTACCATTCTGAGGTAATTCTAGTAGGTCAAAAGTTTTTTGTAACGCTTTTTACTCGTCAATTTGTTCAATGTCCCCATCCCACTACTTGTAGACCAGGAGAAAGACAGCTTATTATCATCTAGTGGCCAATAATCAGTCATGCATCCACAATAGTAACATGGTACGAGATTAGGATTTTGAATAATGACGAGAAACCGTTTTATGTTAATATCTTCAGTACTGCTCAGCTAATTTGATACACTATTGCATTGTTCATCCAAGATAGCCTTGCGTTGTATCATAACAGGGACCTCAGATGACATAATTAGTATCAAATCTCAGATCATTCAAACTTAGTAGATCATTCATCTGCCAACATGAACCAGTCACAATAAGGTGACATGGTTTTCTGTATGATACCCCATTTCTACAGTAACGTGTTTGTGCAACACAATGATCTCAGTTTCCAATAGCCAAGCCATAGTGAGAAACACAGGCAAGGAAGCTTTCTATGAGACATCATCAAGTAAATGTTGTCGAAGGCCAAAAATAAAATTTGCATATAGCAATATCTGGTCCTATTATTATGTTTCTTTTTTTGGTTTGACCTAAGATTCTACATGGCATTTCGGCATGAAGTTGCCTTCTTCATAATTTTTCCAATCTATTTGAAATAAAAAAAAAAAACCACCCTTTCATCAGGTATCCTAAATAAGACCAACTATTCTGTTTACTGCTTTTCGTCAATGGAACTCTATGGTTTTCCTATAAAGTGCAAATAAGATGATATGTGGTTAATTATATGAATACAGGTTCTTGTTTTTCTTTTAACTCGTAAAAATATACAAGTTGAATGAAACCACTTTTTTATCAGGAATCTCAAATAAGCCCAACAACTCTTTATACCACTTTCCCATCAAAGAAACCCTATTGATTATCAGTAAAGGGCAATTATGTCGCTATACAGCCAGTTATATGAATACGGGTTCTTGTTTTTCTTTGAAGTCAAAAAAATACACAAGTGGAAAAAAAACAGCTTTTTGTCATGAACCATAAATAAGTCCAAAAGTTTTTTATACTGTTTTTACATCAATAATACCCTATCGACTACCTATCAAGCGCAAGAATGTCATTATACAGAAGATTTGATGAATACATTTGACTACCTATATAAGTGCAAGTATGTCGTTATACGGCTTTATGAATACAGGTGCTTGTTTTTCTTTAAAATCCTAAATACAAAAGTTGAAATTTGTCGTTTAATCGGATCATAAAAGCTATAAATAAAAAAACCGTGAGAAGCTGTTTCAAACGGTCCAATTTCTAAACCAACCCCAGTTTTTGGAAACCTCGTAAATGGGGTAAAATAATGGTTATAAAACTGTCTGATATTCAAAAGCACCCCTAGTGTTAGAAAACTCGTAAATGAGGTCACAGCCTTCTATTAGTAAGTTTTGTCATTTAAAATCCTACTTCTTAACAAAGGGAATTGCGACACATATTACTCTGTGTATATATAACATGAGGCCCTGTGCTGTATGGCTATAGCATGAGCTGCAGCACTAGTTTCTTCTAATGAGATCACAAGCACAAAGGCCTCTTTCTTTTTTCAGTTTATTAGTACAGAAAGCTGGAGCCTCTCTGTTCAATTTCTCATTCATATAATGTACTCAATTTTGGCTCATTAGGTATAGATGTTATAAAATCTGGTAAATCCTGGTGCTATACTGGTTCACTAGTCCTCCAAGGTTGGGAACAACACTTATGCTGTTGTCATACTATACTCTACTGATATATGTATGTGGATGTAGCTAATTGGTCAAATGATTATCTTTACATCTCTATCAAAAGGAATATCACTAGTAAATGTTGAATGATTATGGTAATATGCTTTAGAAAACTTGTTCTGCCTAGTAACTTCAAAGCCTTCTCATTCGGATGGTGCTTAGGAAAAGCTCAGCATAACTTAACATGCCTAATTCAGCATATGCATTCCAACAACTTTAAGAACTTCAGTTTTCCTGGTAATGCTTCTCCAATACACTTAGCTACAATTTGAGTGATAGCATGAGTTGCATGATAGGCATGTTACCTAAACTATTATAAAATCCATAAGGTGCTCAAATCGTCCATCATTAGGCAGTTAAGAAAAGACACTTAGTTTCAACAAGTCACTTGCCTAGCAGAAGTTAGTTTCATACCTTCTATCACAATCCTAAGCTGGAAACCCATGATCATTTCTCAACTACTTCATAACAGGAAGATCATCTGCATACCATCAAAGAAACAGTTTCTTCCAGCCATTGTAACTTCTTTTTTCCTTTTTGACTGGTTTTACTGGAGCGGAGTTTAAGACAGATCTGGAATTCAACAAAAATTAGATGGTCAAATTTTCTTTCACACAAAAGATCATCTGGAATTCATACCTTCTATCACAATCCTAAGCTGGAAACCCATGCTCATTTCTCAACTACTTCATAACAGGAAGATCATCTGCATACCATCATAGAAACAGTTTCTTCCAGCCATTGTAACTTCTTTTTTCCTTTTTGACTGGTTTTACTAGAGCGGAGTTTGAGACAGATCTGGAATTCAACAAAAATTTGATGGTCAAATTAGAGTTCAAAACCATCTCATAGCAAGTCTTGAGCCAATATCCAAAGCACAACGGTGAGGAGGAAAGTATTTGTAATCATACGCATACATCGAAACATGTGCAGCTCAACCCTGAATGGTGGACCAAAATGCAGAAAACCAAATACACCTGAAATCTTCCCCTTTAGCAGCCCCCAAGTTCCCTCCCTGCAAATAGGGAAGAACATGGTTCAGCGACAGCAAACTTAAGTGGCAAAATGAAAAGCAACTATCGCTGAACCAAGTACAAGGAGAACAAAAAGGTAAAGCTTCAATTTTCAATATTCATGCGTGAAAAGCATTGCAATCGGTTCTTCATCAACATATATCTTGGTCAAGGAAGAAAAAAAAAGAGCACTGGAGCCTGACATATTATGGGAATAAGACTTCATATATATAACAAACTAAATGCTTGACAAAGGATCGACTGCTATGACAATAGCATATCAGTTACATTTTGAAGCTGGCCAGAAGTCGGTACATCTATGATGATAAGTACAAAGCGCTTACAAAGATTTCCACCTCCATGAACATATATCCAAATTAGATTCATAGGGTGACAATGAAAAACACATAAGATCATGGACTCAACTGTCCTATACGTGTCTATTATTGACCATTATGCCAGAGATGCTTGGGGTTGCAGTTGCACCTTGCAGATCAGATAAAGAGAAGGACCTCCAAGGAGAAAACTTCTGTCCCGGAGGTGACAATGAGTCATTGTACAGTGATCTTCTTGCTTGTGGTGGCAAAGGAGGAAGACAAATGCCACGAGATGGTGAATTTGAGTTGGAACTATCGCTGTTATTGTTGCTCTCGGTACAGCCCATGGATGCTGCAAGAGCCAATGAACTTCTAGAGCCTGCTGCTCTCTTTGATATCCCACCGCTGTTATTTCTTCTAATGCCATTGCGATTCTTATCCCAGAAATTATTACAGGCAAGCAAGTTTTTGCGTTTCCTGGTGTAAGCATTTTCTGGCTTTACAATATCTTTCATGGACGAACAATTTGCAGCATCTGATAGGCTGGTAAAAGACTTGGATTTACCAAAATAAAATTGTGATATGCTCCTCCTGAAACAAGTCAAATTGCCCGTATCAGCAAAGCTTTAGACAACCCAAAAAAAAAATCACTTAAAAAAAAAGCAGCACAAGTGTCTAAGAATTTAAATGCCTTGCAGTAATTGTGAGATTTCTCACATAAATATTGCTACAAGAGAAGCATTCAACAGTATGGAAGCTGAAAATGAAAAAAAAAAAAGACTTCCTTGTGTTAATTCAGTGTCAATGTCCAAAAAATGTAACTCCTCTCTCAGTTAATAAATAAAGTTTAAAAAAATGTCAAAGTAGAGATTAAAGAGGTAAAAATAAAAATATATTAAAAAAAGAACCGCATCTCAGGATCTAACAGCAAAATAAAGATGTAATTCCAATTTTCAAACAGTCTGCCCAAATGATCACAACTCAATCATGTTCAGACCATATGCATTCCACCTCATACTGACTGCTAAAAGTCAGTACGCAAATTCCAAATATTCCAAAAAAAAAAACTAGACATAAAATTCGCACAAACCCTAAATCTACAGTGGATTAACAGAAGACAGCTACATACTTGATAGGCAAGACCTCCTCTAACGCCTCGAGACTATCCAAAGCTCCGCCTTTATACTCACTCTGCACCTCCTCACCGTCGCCGGCTTCCGACGACCGTCCAGCCGATGACTCCTCATCACTATTCCTCCCAATCGAAGAAGTCGACGACGATGACTCCCCACTCCGACCCTCATCCTCTTCCTCCACCACCTTCCTCCCCGCTCCAACTCCGGCGCCGGCTGCCCCTAACTCCGGTGCCGGCGGCTTACTTCCATTAGCATACATCGAGAAACACGTCACTCTCTGTCCACCAAGTCCAGACCGTCCGATCAGATGATGATCAAGCCCGTAACTATTACCATTAATATGATTGGCAGCAGCCGCGGTAGAGGCCGCAGTCGCAGTCGTAGTACCAGTCGTATTACTATTGCCCCTCTCCACCACGATTGACATCGCCGGTTTCTCTAACTAGAAGAACAAAACGAACGAAGAAGTTCCAAAACTTACAGGAGTATGCTATAGACACAGAATTCTCTACGCATACGTAGATGGAGATAGAAACGAAGGAAAAGGAGGGTCTTAAGGAAGAGAGGAGAGGATTATATAGGGAACTGCGACTTGAGACAGAGAGAGATATGATGAGAAACGGAATAATCAGAGGGGGGAGAGAGAGTGTGAGAGAGACAGAGATGGAGCAGCCTTATCTTTATCCATCCATCATCATTCACAGACAAATACTATATTTATAATGTCTTGACAACAAAATTCAATAAAATATTTGCAATTTGGATAATTAAACAAGATTATCTTTTTCCTTTTTTTTAATCATAATTGGACAGAGCCACAGAGTTCTATGGTATGGGCGCCCGTGCAGTAGACGGGGATGCGGATTTGGGGACAGAGTGATCTTGGCCGTTGGTAGCTTCTTGATGGGGTTGGTAGCGCTGGTATGTAGGGTTGAAAAGGATTCTGATCCATGCGGTTTTTTGCTGTTGCCAAGGAAGAGTCCACTATTCTCAGAAGCTGTGGAAACCAAATCCGTATTTGTTTCGGCTTCTTTGAAAATTGAGGTTTGAATACGATTAAGGTCAAAGGTCCCAATAAAAGGTCCGTTTCTTTTCTTTTTCTCGCGGGAAATTTCGCCTCATATTCTTCTTGCTCGGCCCTTCTGTTGTTCAATTTTTTTTTTAAAGTACAAAATTTATACTTATATATATCATTAGAGAATTGAACACAAAGAGAAAAAGATGTGACAATGCAAGTCTGACGGGACAAATGATTTTTTAAATTTTTTGCATTTTGTTGCCTAGATTAATGGCTCGAAAAAATAGTAGATAAAGACAAAATGCTTAAACTTATATTAGAATATCATTTTCCATTGTGTAAAATAATTGTTTTCAAGCAATTCTTATGAGTTTTGCAAATTATTCAAAATTTTTGAATTTTTCAAAATTGTTTCCGTATCAATAATATGAAAAGGTGTATTTGGATAGGATATCATTTAAAATATTTTTTTAAATAATTATTGTAATATTTTTTATGATATAATATATATGAGATAAAAAAGATAATTAAAAACATGAAAAGGTGAGTTGAAATTCGTATTTATAATGCAAGTAAAATAGTATTTAAAGATTTATCTACAAAAAAACGAGTGTAAAATCACTACATGTAATAGCCAATATGGGAATTTGAAAGATGAAGCAGGCAAGCTATCATTTAATCTGGTCTATTATACAAGACATGTAACGGTCAATGTGGGAAGGAGACAATCCATCATTTAATTTGTATACATCGTATAAGTTATTTAGAATAGGACTTTCCATATTTGAAATAATGTAAACTGTCTTTTCAATCTCATTACCAACTCGTGATTTCTATTAAAGGACCACATTTGTAATTCCTCAAACGTTAATGGATTTGGTTTGCTATGACAATTAAGGAATACAATAAAAAGAGCAAATTTAAAATGATATTTTGATCTTATATTTTGAAAGAGAAAAACATAAGGGAAGGTGTTTTTTTTTTTTTTTGAATTCAATGGAAGCTAAGTAATAAAATATTTTATAAAATTATCCCCTACATATATGAAAGTTGATTTAGTGTTATGTTCATTAATTTGTTTGGATAGACATTATTTACAAATAATCAGTCGCTTACATCATAAACGCGTTTTCTAATAAATTTTCTTATATTTTTAATCTTTTTTTTATTTTATATACTCACATCATAAAAAATAATACAGTAATTATTTCAAATAATCATATATCCAAACGCATTTACTTTGAGCAGTTGTGTGATTGAAATAAATACACATTAATTTTGAATACAACCTTCGAACAGTAGCATTTGTGTCTATAGGTTTACTTCACACACACACACACATATATATATATATATATATGTATGTATGTATGTGTACATGTGTGTGTTTGAATTTTGAAAGACTAGTAATAAAAGACAAGATATATTTGCACTTGTACCAACTTAACATGTATCTGAAAAAGAGAATTAACATCATAGGCGAAAACGAAAGTAACCATCCAAAACAAAAGCCGGAAGTATATAAGTCGATTAAATTCCAGAAATTACCATTTAAACACGGGACAATAAGTCATACGTGTACAGCAAAATTAAATAAGGCGGGAAGAATGAATGTCAAGAGTCCAGACCCTTAGACAAAACCAACAAACTACTAACAAGATAAACAACCCTGAGGGTCAACCTTGAAAATCACGTCTTTGGCATCAGCACGGTTCTCGACACTCCTAACTTTTTTAAAACCCTAAAAACGCCGTCGTCAACACTTTGCAGCTAGACCCCAAACAAAAAAGAGAGACAGATTTCTCTGTATGAAAAAAAAAATCTATGAATGGAGGACACGTGGCTGAAATTGGGAGGTTGCCACGTGGACTAATGTTTGATCATGGAAGCTGAATTCTGGTGAAAGATGTGATAGGGGGTGGGGTCCAGCATCCAAATGCAGATATGGTTGGTCGGTGTTCAAAGCTGATGTGGGTTGCCTCTTCCCTCAATCCTGCGTCGCAGTCGCCTACTAGTGCTATTCCGCCAGGCTTATCGCGATAGCCTACCTCTCTCTTTTTCTTCTTTTTTTTTTTTTTTCAATAAATGGTTCACAGTTTACTGATTAGTACTACTGCTTGTCTGGACCAATTCCGGCCGGTGGTCCTAAACTCCTAATCAGGAAACACGACTCAGTCCTAGCTTCCTCGGAGGAGGAAACAGGCTGGGATCAGTTATTGGTCAAAAATGTGATATCGATATCATTTCCTTCGTTGCCTTATCCACCACGCATGTCTATGTACTTTGTGTTTTTTTTTTCTGTCTTCTTTTTTGTCAGTGAATTTGATTAGATTGGAGTTTATTTGGATGATTTATTTGAAATAATTATTGTAGCACTTTTTGTGATGTGATTTATGTGAGATAAAAAGGTATTTTGTGCGCAATTTTCGTTTGAAAGTCTGATAATAATCTTTGATCCATTCATTTCTACCTTGTATATAAAAAGGAAAGGAAGTTTAGTTCTTTGCCTCCCTTGTTGTCACTTGACTTTTTAATAATTTGACAAGTGGCATAAGTCTAATATTTTTCTTGCATATGGTTTCCTTGCCTCTTGCATATCCCCCTTTTTTTTTTTTTGCTTTTTTTTCATGCCAAACTGAGCAAGTTTGGCTCTTTTATTCTCCTTTTGAGCCTAACGAATTTTTTTAACCTTAATGATTTTACTAAATGAGTCTATTGTTTAATTCATCATCGTTAGATTAGTTTTAATACAATAACACTACATTATAACCCTTGGATCAATTTTCATTCGTTCTAATTGTCTACCTATTATATAAGAGACATGAGAATTTAATGTAATACTCTCATTTATTGACATGTGATGTAACTCTCCTATGAGAAATCTATGATTTTTCTCCCATTTTTTATTTCCCTACTTCTATCTTGATAGAGCAAGACAAAAGATGTACCATGCAGGATAAGACAAAAGATTTCAATTGCAAGTCATGTTACATACTACAAGAACTTCTACTGTTTTTATATATTATCTAATTTATGACTATAAGATCAACCTTTATAGATTAATGAAAAAATTTTAATCCTTGGATATTGATTAATTATGTTTGATTAGTAGCTAACCAACTATTACATTTAAACAACTATTTTATGTAATCAATTTAAGTCTCTTTTTCTATTTCTTTATAAATCGTTTCTCAATGTTGCATAGAAAAAATCAGATTTCTTCATTCCCAATTGCATTCAACTATGCACTTGTTTATTAATCTCAAGATTAGTGATGGATTTAATAGATGCTATGTTTATTGTCTCATTGATTTCGAAGAGTTAACTTCATAGTTGAAATTTCTTCTGATGCTCAATTTTTCTCGTGTTTTTGTCTATTATGTGCCGAAAAATTTTGCTGTTATATGTTCAATTAAATTATTAGAGGGCCTAGGTTGTGCCTTGCACAGCCGAGGTACCTCTAGTAGGATAGAGAAAACGAGTTCACTTTTTTCATGATTTGCTAATATAATTACACTTTGAGAAATAATAATTGAAGTCGATATTTTAACACTTATTAATTTGGCTGCTAAAGACGTTAGTATAACATTTTTAGTTTGACTCTCAAACTAATTTTTTTTTATTATATGATCCTTTGAATTTTTTCTTTTTTTATAAAAAGTTGATAAAGATATAGCATAAATAGCTGCAAACGTCATGTGTTATATATATATCCATGCCTTCTCTCGGCAAAATGGCGTCGACTTATGTTATAAGTGATAACCCATGCCGTTGGCGCGTCTAGGATTTCATCAGCACCCGATACTGTGTCATCTACAATCGTATTGTACATGGATTGCGCGAGTGTACGGTGTGACAATGGATCTACCGTCTTGCAATTTGAGTTGTATTCTAATTTAAGTCAGTCGTGTAAATTAATTAATTTCTATATAAAATTTGAGTTTGTAATTTATATAAGGCTTAATTGCAAAGTGCACCCTTAAACTATTACCGGTTTACATTGCACCCCTAACTATGAATTGTAGCAATATACTACCTTTATCTTTGAATTTTTAGCATATTACTCAATTATCATTAATTTGGTGGGGTACAGGTTAGTGAAAAGACTTCAACAACCTTGCAAAATATACGGTGCCTAATTTGATCTTTTACTACTCCTACAACTGCAGTCACAGTCATATTTACAACTAATTAATGGCATCAGAAGCAATTTTAGAAGTTCACATGCAAGGATTTTATTTTCTCTTCTTATCTATTATTTTTCCATTTTTTCACAGCAAAAGCAAGGAAAAATCTCTTCACCTATGCTTTTGTCTTGGTAATTAGAATGCTTAATCTCTTATTTACTAATCCAAAATTAGTTTCCATCAAATTCCACTTCAGATTCACCGTAGATCAAAACTCACCGTCACCAAGCTCATAACCACAGCAGACACATGGCAAACTAACCAAATTAGAAAAACCAAAACAAGCCACCCAGATAAACCCATCATTAATGAAACCAAAACCATAGACCTAAAAACAACTCGTACCCTAATTCATTTGGGATGGAGAAATTGAGATAATAGATAGGCGTCATCTTTGAGATTAGGATAGAAAGGCGAAGGTTATTGGGGTTTTAGAGGAACTGCAATTGATTCATATGTTTTGCAAGAGTGGAAAGGA